GCCGCACGGAGGGAGGCGCGCGCGCGCCTGGTTGACGCGCAGGAAGCCCCCGGGCTGCTGCTCTCGGCCGCCCCCACCCACCCCTTCGTTTCTGCCTTCCGCTGGATAATTTCGTGAATTACTTGAATCGTAGGCTCCATCATCCTCACTGCGTTGTTTTAGGTTTGCCCTCTACCACTTCAAGGCTTAAGCATTTTAAAAAATCACTTTTATTCTTTCTTCTAAAGGTTCACCATTTTTCATATGGTTGGGAAAAAAAACCAGCGTCCCTTAATGTTTCAGTAATTTAATGATCTAATGACTCAATTTTTTTTAAAAAAGAGGACGTAATTAGGCTTTTATTTATCTTTTAATGGAGGTGCTAGGGATTGAACCCAGGACCTCAAGCATGCTAGGCATACACTCTGCCACCAAACTATATCCTACCCTGCTCTACTGACTCTTAAATGAGGACCTTTTATGTGCCTGATCCTTGCAGAAAACAGCCTTGAACAAGGCAGAGACGCTGAACACCCCCGGTGACCATGCTCAGGGAGGGCAATTTAAGACAAAGGGTGTGAGGGCTGCTAAGCCCAAAAGAGGGTGGAGGGTGAGGGGTGCCCTCGCTTTCCGTTCACCAAGGCTGCACCCCAATACAGGAAATGTGGGTGAGGCCTCGGAGGAAAAGAGGGCAGGCCAGTGGGCACGGCTGGCAGCCTGAACCCCCCATTTCCCAGTCCTACGATTTGACCGGGAGGGTTCTGAACAACAGACCCTAGCTGATCTGTGGGGGGAGGGCCAGGAGGTCTGTTTCACTGTCCTTTGTGCAGCTCCCACACTTTAGCCTGTTACAGCAGCGGTATTCTCGCTGAGATTTGACAGAACATAGGCCGTGGGCAGCAGCAGTGTCTCCCCAACTGTTACAGGGCACCCCCTTCCCCGTCTTGCCTTTTGGTCCCCCAGCTGGAAGGGCCTGCACGTCCCATTTAAAAGTCAAGGTCATTTCCCCCCTTCTTTCTTCTGGTACAGATCTAGCAGTCGGGAGCATCCCAGAGAACACAGCCCAGCAGAGCTGCTGGCAGCCTTCTGGGAGGCCGGGCAGGTTTCTGTTTCCTGTGGGGCGGCTCCCATCAGCTCCCCAGCTTGGGGAGAACATAGAACCCTTCACAGCTGCACAAGGACAGCCATTCAGCCCATGGGACAATCAGGAATTCACTGGGACCAGGTTTTCCTTCTTCATGGGCTGAAATGACTGTTTTATGTGCATTTGGCTGAAATAAGGAGCATTTCTGTTGATTCCGGGTTCACCTAACTGAGTTCAGCTACACGAGGAAGTTTAAATTGGCTTGCAGTCTTCGGGCACACAGAAGGCTGAAAAGAGCCGGTGTGTCAGCAGATATGGGGCTGAATCACAAATTTGTTCAGGAAGCCCAAGATTAAAGTCCGGTTTATATTATTATGTAACAAATATACCTGCCAAGCAACACATCCAGGCAAATAAACTGGAGATATTTTTGCGCAGGATACAGCTGGGATACAAAACTCATATTTATTAAGACTTATGGGAATGGTAAATGAGGCCACTTGTGTGGAACTCCTGAAAAAGGCAGTTTAAACATTCAGAGCAGGAGTGAAGGTCCTAAGTATGCAGCATCCTACCAGGAAGATGAGTTCCTGGACCACCAGGCAGGAAAAGGGGGATTCTGAAATAAAGACTAAAAGATGGCACACATTCAGTCTTCATACCAGTCAAAGAGAAATATTTCTAAAGTGCAGACATGGGGGAAAAAAAAGATGTCAAACAATACTTAAAAGTGAACGGTTGTTACCACTTCTGGAATGACAGGTTAAAGATCTCTGAAAATCTACTCTTCCATAAAATGCATGTGAGAACACTGGCAAAATTAGTCAAAATGAATTTTTGCAGAATTCTGGAAATTAAAGGCTTACAACAATTCAAAGAGAATTTACTAAAGAAAAACAGCTGCATCGGGGTAAAAATGCCTCGTGGCAATGAGTTGCCCTAATCTCCTTCTCCTCTCCCCAGCTCCACAGCAGCCCTGATGGTCAAGACCCCCAGAACTACAGCTGGAAACCAGTACCAGGAGCTCCCAGACAGGGCAGAACAGACGTGGTGTTTCTCTCAAGCCCCATTCCCCCGACACTGTCCTTTCTCATTTCATGACAGCTCGCACGACATTCTCAGAGCCTGTCTTCATCTGACCAGACTCAACAGCACATCCAGCACCCAGATCTCGGATTGTAACTACTACAGATCGTCCTCGACTTATAATGGGGTTACGTTCCCCATGAACCCACCGTCTAAGTTGAAAATATTGTTAAGTTGAAAATGTATGTAACACACCTAACCTACTGAACATCACAGCTTAGCCGAGTTTGCCTTAAATGTCTCACAACATTTACATTAGCCTACTGTTGGGTAAAATCATCTAACACAAAGCCCAGTTTATAATCAGTGTTGACTGTTTCATGTAGTTCATTGCATACTGCACTGAAAGTGAAAAACAAGAGGCTGTCTGGGACCTAAGAGCCCTGGTGTTAACCCTTGTGATCACAGAGAGTGTCCTGCCACATACCGCTGGCCTGTGAAAAGATCACAATAAAAAATTCCAAGGACAGTTTCTACTGAATGCCTGTCATTTTCACACCATCGTAAAGTTGAAAAATCACTAAGTGGAACCATCCTAAGTTGGGGACTGTCTTTTCCATTAAAAGGAATCCGCACTCCTTAGAGAAATGGCCCCTTCGAGGGCTGAGGTGGGGACATACAAAATAAGCCTGGAGCACCTCTTCCAAGTTCATTAAAGCTTTGGGCAGGATTCAGTAATTTGTGGTTTTCAGACTGAAGTTTCCATTTCTTTCACGTCATTCGAGGCTTGCTCTCAATTCTAGATACATGGCCTGTCAAAACTTGGCAACTTAATTATTCAAAGCTAGGAGGAAAATCTGATGCTGCTAACCTTTGGCTTCAGAAAGGGCCCAGTCTCTTGTAAGAGTCATCTGATTAGTTAAGGCCCATCTGAAATGATCTCCCTTTGATCAACTCAAAACCAACTATTTGAGGTCTTAATCACATCAAAGGTAAAAACCACTTCATCTTTCACATATAATGTAAGTTAATCGTGAGGGTGAAATCTGTCCTACTCACAGGAGTGCTCACACTCAAAGGGAGGGGGTCATACAGGTGTGTTTCCCAGGGGCCAGGAATCCGGGCGCCATCTTAGAATTCTGCCTACCACAAAGTGGGTACGGTGGGGAGCGGGGGAGGAAGGATACAGGGAAGCACTTTTTCATTAAAAAAACTTTTTGTTTTCATAGTTTATTAATCCAAAATAATACCCGTGACAAATTTCATTTCACAGTAATTTTGTGACTACATACATATATAATTTCAGTTAAAAATTATATTCAGTCAAATCTAAATATGTCAATAACTTAATAAGATCCACCACTTTAAATGTGCCAATAAGAAAAAAATAAACTGCCAACTAAAATGTGAAATTCCACCAACTATAAAATGCATCGCAATTGCAGAGATGTTGACTACGAAAATAAATACACCTGTTTCTTACTGTGTGCTGCCTGCAGGGGCTGAGACAGTGAACGTAGACTTCAGTGAAGAGGGTGGTGATGGGGAAGTCGTGGCCTTTGGATAGACTAATGTAGTTTGGCTCCTGGCTCACGTGTGTTAGCTTGCCTTTGGCTGCAGGGAACATGGAACTCATATCAGAATGGCTTAAACAGTAAAAAGATGGTATTATTTCATATGGTGTAACATAAAATTGGAAGGGTGGCTGTCTCTCTCTAAGGGGGTGAATTCCATGGCTCAGTTGTTATCCAGGACCCAGCAGGGATTCTCCCCAACTTTGTCACCTTCAGCTGGATAGCTGGCTCCCCTTGAGGTCACAAGATAGCTGCAAGTGTTCTGGGTGATGGTTTTAGACACGGCAATGTCTAACCTCTACCCACGGACCTCAAGAGATGGTAACTGTTCCAGAAGTGCGCCAGAGGACATGAATTCGTATTTCAAGCCTTAAACCACCTACTGGCAAGGAGAATGGCACTTCGATTAGCTGTGGAGACCAGTGGTTTTCAACCTTGGCTGTGCTGCAGAATCACCTGAGAGTTACTGCAAAACCTCATGTCCATATCCGAGGCCTCCCCCCAAACCACCCGAATCAGAATTCCTGGGAGTGAGCCCCGGATGTCAGCATTTTTTAAACCCCTTAATGGCTGTGTTTATTAAAACTAGTCAGTGAACTGAGGTATTGCGCTGAAGGTCCGGAATCCTACTGAGACGGGACAAGTCATTTAATATCTGTGTCTGAATTCCCTAAGTGTTATGACTGGACCAAGTTAATGAGCCGAAAGACTACGTCCTTAACTTAAATTTTCTTACCGACAAAAACTGAGTTTCACTGTCATGTGGCTGTAAGTAACAGATCACAAAAGAGTTATATAAAACCCTTCACAAAGAATCTTAGAAATGAGAATTTTGTCCATTCTCCTCAGAGATTTCCATAGTGAAGACCCATATAAGAACTGCTTTCATGGAATTATTACTGGAAGAGTTAGGCTTTGCATCCTGCCTCCTTTCTGATAATGAGAGGTAAGTAGATAACCACTCCATCTTTTTTGTTTTGGCTCCAAAAAGGGTCAGAGATAAATTTAATACAGCCACAATAACCAGACTGACCAAATGCCACGTAAATTCGTGTACAGCTTTTTCCATTACAATTTTCTTGCTTGTATTTCCTCTGGTCCAGATTTTTTTTAAACTATGGTTTTAATATACACGTCCTTGCTAGGAGCTGCATCAAGGGTCAGTGAGATTTGCCTCCCAGGCGGAAGCCCAGGGGAGCAGAGGGCAGCGGGCACTGAAGCTTGGTATGGCTGAGCCGGCCAGACTCAGAGCACCCACGACGGGGCGACAAATGGACCTTGACTCCGGGAGGTACACAGTGGCGGCGTGGCTGCAGCGGCACACTGGGGAACCTGCCCTAACGTAGGAAAAGAGAGTGAACAGTAGAGAAGAGAGTGGGAAGTAAGTGGAGGCAGGAGACCAGTCGGGAGGGGCTGTCATAACCCGTACGCAGGAGACCCACAGCCTAACAGCTGCTTGCGGTGCACAGGGCCCGTCTGAGAGCGTATGTCTCGCCCTCAACTTGATGCAACACAAGTTAAGATGTTTCACTGACACCTATTGTTTGCCTCTTCAAAATAACAGTTGTAAAATAAGCACTATTTAAACTCTGACTTCTCAGTCCCTCAAACCTCTGCTTGGTCTTTAAAGTTCACAGGTGAGATGGGTACTGCTGTTTGGAATATAAGAATTACTTCTGCCTTATACATAAACTTTACATGCGTATTTATACCTCATAGGTATCACACTATGCATTATGTAATATTATAAGAAAATAAATTGTTTAAAACTCTCATAGAAGATTAAATAAAAGTCATTTTCAAGGCTCATGAAGATAGAGAAAGTACAAGGAAATTTCCTGTTTATTCCTCTTCTGTGCAATGGATCTCATCATCCACCTCATAGGGTTATGAGGCTTAAATGAGAAAGTTAAACAGCATTAGACAAGATAGCACAGTGCCTCCACATGGTGAGCGTGCACCAGCATTAGCTTATTGTACGTCAGTCAGCGTTAGCTTACGTACAGGTTGGCCATAAAAATCTACCTTCTATAAAATCTACCTTCTACAATTGTGCTCTGTGACAAGATCCTGAATTCTTCTACATTACATGTGATCTTTAAAGAAGATACACGGGGGAGGGTATAGCTCAGTGGTAGAGCACATGCTTAGCATGCACGAGGTCCTGGGTTCAATCCCCACAAACCTCCACTAAACATTAAAAAAAAATACATATCTTAATAAACACAAATTAAGATCATTAAAAAAGAATTTCCAACAGTTAAAAAAAAATAAAGAAGATATAAAGTATCAATTCTACAAGTAATATAACCACTCTTTTGCACAATTTCATTACATTATTGAAGGTTTCTGTAATGAACCCTTTAAAAGCATCCCCTCCGCCCCCTCCCCTGTGACTTCCTCTGGAAGATTCTAGCGCATTATCTTTCCCTCCTCCCGTCACAGCCAAGGAGTGACCCGATGAGCCTGGCAGACAGCAGTGGGACGCTGAGCGATGACTCACTCTCAGCTCATGGACTCCCGATGCTAAGGGCTCAGGATTAATCGTGGTTTCGTCCCTTCCTAGGACGAAATAAACCTTTGCTCGGAGTATGTGCAATACCCTTTTGTGCTTTAGTGGGATTAGGTTACAACCAAAGTAGCTTTGACTCATATTTGTAAACAGGACTTTGCTAAGAAGTGGCGCTAACTTTGATGTACTCAAACGTATACAGCAGGCTAGTGGTGTTATCATTTCTCCCAGCAATAACATGATGATAGTTTCATTTTATAGAATTTTTCTAGTAATAGTCAGTACTGCTATATAAAAGTGCATATTTAGAATCTTATTATTTGTGATTGGAAATTTTTGTATTTGAATATTAAAGACATCACCACACTCCCAAAATTTACATTCTACACAGGTGTTTAATCTGACTACAATTTATGAACCAATGAAAAAGATAACCATTCTTATATCTTAACAGCAAAAAATTTAAGAACTCCAGGTTTAGGAATGGTATACCAAGAGACACTGGTCCATTTCATTTGTAATAGTAAGAAACTGGAAACAACTTTATCGTCCAACAACAGGGAATTGGTTTTAAAAAATCATGGAACGATAATTTAATCCAAAAAACAGAATTGTGAGCAACCATTAAAAATACATTCTGAATGTATTTAATGACATGAAAAGATCTAGTTGTGTGTTCATTGTCTGTTATCCCAATGTCTTCCCAGAGAAACTTAATAGTTTTCTCTCTTCAAATCTATTGCGTCTTCATCCATCCTCACTCAGCCTAACCTTGCTTCCTAGTTCATTTAGAAAACTCAGTCAAGCAGAAGAGACTTCTGCCGTTTACCACCACAGCCTTTACCCACAGCCAGCACCTCAGTCAGATATGCTCCTCCGTTTCAGTGGCTGGAACCATCTCCATAAAGACCAACCCCTTCACTTATACACTACATTCTGTCCCTGGGCGCCATCCATGAGAGAGTTGCACATCATTATAACGACACAAGGGGGGCGCTTTAAATGAGGTATCTTGTAAACCACTTCAAATCAAGTCTTGATAGTCTTCAACAGACACGGACACAACACTCTTCATCCACACAAAGCTACAGAAGAAAAGAGAAAACAAAAACACATCAGCCGATAAAAATGACTCACTTAGCCACCCACCCTCAACTGCCTCCCTCCAAAAACACAGGCACAGAAGAAAACTGACACTAAAATCCAAACTGAATTAAATATAAATATCCCTGTTTAGGTATGTGAAAAAACAATTTCTGAATTGAAATTCAAAAACTAAGAACAAAACTGAACAAAAAAATGGAAGTAACGAAACAAGAGTTGACTGACCTCAGAAATGACAGAGGAAAAAGAAATCATATCAAAAATAAAGACTATAATGTAATACATACCAGATCTGAAGGGAAAGTTAATAAGGGTTAGTGGACAAAAATGGCAAAGGAAAATAAAAATGAGATGAAGAAAGAAAAATCATCTTAGAGAGAGCAAACACATAAATGTAACATAATATACACAGTAACTATAATACAGAATGAGAAGAAGCTAAAGCAAACATTCATCACTTCAATAAATGTGAATGGATTAATTCACTTATCAAAAGAAGAAAAGGATTTGTGGTTTGGCTCATAGAGCAAAACCCAACTATAAGCTCCATTCAAGAAACAAACCTAAAACTGACTCAGAAAAACTAAAAATAAAATGATAGGCAAATAAACATTAAAAGCAAATACAAACAAATATCTGGCTGCAACATAGAATCTGAAACCACATCAAGGAACTTTCTGTACTGTTACATCAAAATTGATTAATCTCTATTGTAGGTTGGATAGATATTGTCCCATGCATAACTTTGTAATATAAGGCAGTGGTTATTTGAAAAGCATTATCTAATTTATGCAGATCTTTCAAATGCTTCATTATAAAGTATTTAAAAAATCACATTCTTTACTATCATCACCCAATCGCACCAAAAAGCCTTTAAGTAGAAGAAAGCTTTCAAGCTCAGAGGCAGATCAAATGTTTTAAAATTGTCACTTTTGCTAAAAAGCCAGAATTTTATCATTGATAACATATACTTTCAGTTGTTTTCCTTAAAGTGCCAGGATCACTCCATTCAAAACTACCTGCGAAACACCCAAATTCGAAAAAACCAGTTTGTCCCTAAGTTATTCATTCAAGTAAAAGCATAGTCATGACAAAATGCAGCTAATTCAGCTTGCAACTGAAATAGCACAAATGCTTCTTCCTTGAGGACACTCCTCAGTATGTACAAATACTATATGAATCTTCCCCTTTTGCTGTATATAATATTGCAAAGACATCTACTCGAGAACTGAGATTTAATAACATTAATAATTTTTACTGCTTCACCAAGGACATGCTTAAATGAAATGACACCAGATGCAAATCTTTACAGAGAGGAGTTCTACTCAACTTTTAGAAACTAAACTGTCCCCTTGAAACACAAAACTCTTCTAGTGGAAATGCTTCCCCCATTTCCCCATTAAGTATGGTGCTGACTTTCTTCTTAAGGTATAATATTTTATCATAGTAAGAAAACACCCATTGAATGATCTTCTATGTGGAAAATGTAATGATTCCAGAATAAAAAAAAAACTGTTAGAACTAATAAATGAATTCAGCAAAATAGCAGGATACAAAGTTAACACCCCAAAATCAGCTGCGTTTTTATTTACTAACAATAACAATCTGAAAGGGAAATTAAAAAAACAATTCCATTTACTACACCTCAAAAAGAATAAAATTCTTAGGAACTAACCAAGAAGGTGAAAGATTTATACAATGGAAGCTACAAAACCCTGCTGAAAGAAATTAAAGACAGAAGTAAATGGAAAGACATCCTATGTTCATGAACTGAAGACTAAATACTGTTGTCAGCACTACGCAAAGTAATGAATGGTGCTGCTTCAATGCTGCTTCAGTGCAATCCCTGTCAAAATCACAATGACAGTTTTTGCAGAATAGAAAAATCAATCCTAAAATCTGTATGGACTCTCAAGGGGCCCCAAATAGAAAACTTTCTAGAAATGGAAGGTTGATGAGTGGGACTGGGTAGTGACTGCAAATGGGTAAAAGGGACCTTTTCGGGGCTGTCAAAAACAGTCTAAAATTGGATTTGGTGATGTTATGTAACTTTGTAAATTTGCCAAATTGTACAAATCGAATTGTACACTTAAGTGCTATATATAAATCATACCTCAATAAAGCCATTAAAAAAAAACTGTAACAAAGTAAAAGGGTCCAAAATAGCCAAGGTGCTCCTAAAGAACAACATCAGAAAAATTACCAAACTACATCAAAATCCAATAAAGCTCCAGGAATTAAGGCAGTGGAGTATTAGAGAAAAAGACAAATGGAGCCGACTAGAGATCCCAGAAATAGACCTCCGTTTGAAGGAAACTTGACATACACCAGAGAGGACGTTAGAAATCACTGGGGAAAGGGCAGTCTTTTCAGCTGAATGGTGCTGGGAGACTGATCATCTGTAAGAGGGGGGAAAAGTAAAATAAAATCAGGTCCCCATTGCATACTGTTTAAAAAAAAATTTTTCCAAAGGATTAAAATATAGGCATAAAAAGCCAAACACCAAAACCTAAAAGAAATTAGAAGTACTTCAGAGCTTCACGATAGGGAAGGATTTCTTAAATAAGACACAAAACACAAAACCTACCATAAAGAAAAAGTTTACCAAAGTAAGTAATTCCGCTCATTGAAACACCTTTAAAACAGTGAAAAGACAGCCCACAAAATGGGAGAAGACCTGCCACCCATTATCTCGCAAACAATTACATCAGGAGTATATAAAATCAAGTTATAAAGGTCAAGCAGCCCAACATAAACACAGGCGAAAGACATTTAAGGGATTTCACCAAAGATGAAGCTCAGAAGCTAGTAAACCCAAGGGAAGATGCAGAACTTTATGAAAATAAAGTGATGGAGCACCATTTTTATACCCACTAAATTGGTAAAAGGTAATTTAAGTCTTGACGATACAAAGCAACGGTGAGTGTGGAGCGACAGAAATTCTTTTACACAGCTGGCAGGAGTAAAAACTGTTTCAACTACTTTAGAAAACACTAGCATTATCTTAAGGTTTAAGATGATGTAACATTTCTCCTCCTTGGTATATACTCAGGACAACTCACGCACATTTACATCAGGAGATACGTAACACACTTATTTATAACAATAGTTAAATTTAGAAAACTGAAAATAACCTCGATGTCCATCAATACAGAATGAATAAATAAACTGGAACAGTCACAGAATCAATGCTCTATAACAGTAAAAATGAATGACAACTGCATGTATCTACACGAATGAATCTCAGAAGCATAACATTGAGTGGAAACAGCAAGTCACCAATAAATACAGAATGTGATGCTGTTTAAGTCATATCCAAACACAAACAAAATACATACAGTATTGAGTGAATCATATACATTTGGTAAATCTACAAAGAAACTGAACAGGAGAATAAAAACACAGATAGTGACAAATCCAGGGAGGGAAGCAGGTCCAGGGAGATCCATGTATGTATCTATTTGTATGTATCAAATAGTTTGTAATTTTTTTAGTGGGGTAGGAGAGAGAAAAAGACTTCTTTTTGAGAAAAATGTAAAAAGGCCTATGTTCCCCTGACAATTTTTCTGGAGACATTTCAGAGGAGGATTGAAAAAAAAAAAAAATCAAGCACTAAATTCTAATTTTACCTTTTTTCTGTATTTTACTTTCATGAAGATTTCTTTTCAGGATCCAAAACCTAATATGGGGGGGAATCGCATAATCATTCTTATGCATCAATGTCTAATTCAGGAACATCATCGTATTCTTGTAATTATCTAAAGATTCCAAATAATATTCATCTTAGTATTCACCCAATAATATTACCATAAGGGGAACTGCAAAATGACTTTTACATATACCATTTTTTCCATATATATTTCATACTAACAAACTTCCAAATATTTGGTATAATTTCTAATTCCAGGGTAACCGTTCATATTTCACAACCTAAAAGTATCCAGAAATAAGCACCTTTGACTTTGTAATATTTGCATAGGCTCAAGGGAACTTATGCCACACAATGGAATGGTATGGTTTTAAAAGAATTTTTTATTTTCACTTTTATTTCAATTCAACTTTGAAGAGACTAGCTCCAACTAACATATGAGAAATGAAATAATATAAATAACTATTATTTTTTAATTATCTTTCTTACAGCCTGAAAGAATATCTGAAGAAAACTGAAATAACTAACTACTGAAGTATGCTTTGATGGAACTCTAAAATATTTATCAACCAATGATCCTTAACTTTTCTCCTAAGAGTGTAACAGGTATACTGTGTCTCCTGTTTGTTGTGTTTGCCTTTGGTTAACTTAGCTATTAAGGTTGCTGACTACACTGAAGATTTTAAGAACATTTCAATTTACACCAGCAGTAAGTATGAACTTTCCTTTCCTACAAGGAAGTATATACAAATGAATAATACTTTTCTAAACTGAAGTAAATCCTTATATTATCCGTCCTAATATATAGCAAGTGCTAACATAGGAGGCATTCTCCTTAAGGAACAGTATCTTTTCAAATTCTCATGCTTAGTTCAAACATATTCGTTTAAAAAAGAAAACAAAAATTAAAATCGTACTCACTTTAGCCAGTAGTTCCTGTGTTTCGGCCGTCAGTGGAGCGTGTGAAAACTTGCAATATTCTCCCTGGTAACATTTTGCTCCTGTGTGGTAAAACTTGCAAGGATATTCATGTAATCCAAACGTTAAGGAAGAGAACAATTTCACTCCAACTAAAATAATTTGTTATTCATTTAATGACTTTATTTTTCCCACATAAAGTTCTTTTCTACTAGTAGAAACGTTAAATTCTCTATTTAAAATATGAGACAATAAACTATTAATTGGGTTACAAGAAAATCTAATTTTGGGATGATTCTATAAATCAAGTTTATTGGCTGTCATAGGACTTTTTCCCCCTTCATATCCATTCTTAAACTACAGGTATGTTTCACTAATACAAGAGAGAGATGTATATTTTAAATACTGTGAGAAATGGGATTATTTTAAAAGCATTCTTTTGGGGTGAGGGAATTAGAGTCAATGACAATGATATGTCTTACAAATCTGGATCCTTCACATATTAGGCTTCTTTAAAACAGGATCAATTTATATAATTTCAATACTGTTTTCTAGGGAAAATTTCTCAAGTTAGCATTTGAGATTGCTTGTATTGAATGACTGAAAGAAAACAGCTTTTGTGGTGATCAAAGGTGCAATGACCTAAAACCTTTATGTTCCTTTTTTTTTTTTTACAACACGTCTGGGCCATTTGCACTGAAGGGTTAGGGTTATTCTTCAAATTAAGAGACAACTGAGGGGGAGGGCATAGCTCAAGTGGTAGACCACGTGCTTAGCATGCACGAGGTCCTGGGTTCAATCCCCAGTACCTCCTACAAAATTAAATAAACCTAATTATCTTCCCTCACCAAAAATTTTTTTTAAATAAAATAACTTAAAAAAAATTAAGGGATAATTAAACTCTGTACAATACAGAATATACAGAAAACAAAAACCATGCAATTCCTGTCTCTTTTTAGGAAGTAGATTATATAAATATAGTCAATTAGTGACTGACACAGCAGAAATTCTGAGAAAGTTTTTCTGGGATTTGAATAGGTCTCGTGAACCTGTTAAACTACCCAGGTTGAGCGGATCCTCATTTGAGAGAAGATCTAAAAACTCCCACTTTCTTGGAGGAGGAAAAAAAAAAAAAATCCGTGTACAATTTAATCACTTTGATACTGAGTTGAGCTTGGATAACGTAATTTTGCCATAGCTAAAACACTGGTTTTATTCAAAATTTTACATATTTAAAATGCTCATGTAAATATTAACAGAAAGTAAAGCTACTATATCTCGTGATAAAGGATATTATGCAAATACAGACAGTTTTCGCCTCTGGTACAATATCCTTGCACGTAAAACTTACACATTTCCTTTTTCTTCTCTATCTCTGCATCATGGTCAAATTTACACTGGTCTCCCTGGGCCAAAAGAAGAGCAAGAAAAAGCCATTATTTCTCACAGTTACAATTCTTAACTTTAGATAAGCAACAGATTCCAGAAAAACACAGTCTAACGCAGTACAGTCTAATTCTTAATGAACTATCTTATAATAACATCACATATATCTGCTTAAAATTTGTGAAATCGTTAACATTTTTAACACAAAGAATTTTTTTAGAATTATCTATTTTTTAAGCATGAAAGAATATTTCAGTAAAACTTTCTAATTGAAATTTTTCTAAAAGGGAACAGTCCTAAAATTGTACAGGTATGCTTTTGGAGTGTCTAATGGAAACAGGAGTTGGTTTTAGTACATTTTTGCTATATCTTACATTTTAGTGCATTTGTTCTTAAACATTTTTTTATACCTTAATACATTTTCTTTCAAGAAAATATTTACAAATCTGCTTTCCGTGGCGTTGCACTGTGTGCTGGTTGATGAATCCCTGGCTCATTATCACAGGCTGCTGCTTCTCTTTAGGTTTACCATCCTTCGAAAACAAAAACAAAAAACTAAATGTGAGAAACAGAAAATTAAATATTTTACTCCATTATACAAAATTATTTTAAATCACCTTTAAAACATTAAAAAGTAACTCTTCTAAATTGGCCTTCAAGTAGGATTTGGACTTTTTGTACATCCGTTGGGGAAAAAAAAATGAATGTTTTGTCAGTTTCAACAGCTTTCCATCACTGAACATTAGTGTTTGTGCAATCTGAGTATTTTAATATACCTTGCCCTTATTTAAAAAAATTAATTAAAACGTTTAAAAAGAAAAGTACCACTACTTGTGATAAAAAGTGAAGTCTAAGAATAAGGCTCTTTAGAACAACGAGGGCAAAACTGGAAATCATAAGCTAAACCAAAAACAAAGAGCTATACCAAAGTGGCGCAGTCCTGAATTTCAATTAGATGCTTGCTAGGTGTGAGCCGAGTTTACTGATGAGCTCAAATTAACAAACATAATTAGAAATAGACCCTCAAAGATAGTGCTAAAGGCATAAAAACAAAAGGGGACTTTTATATAAAAACATAAGGGGAATTTCATTTTGGCTGTTTAGAAATATAGATCACCTTTAGTGTGTGGTACCACTTACAGCTTCCACGTATCATATTCCTCCTGGTTTGTGCAAAGAAGGGAGCTGACTGTACATTTATGTCACCTACTTCACAATAAAGTCAAACTTCCACTTAGGACCACGAAAATTATGTGTCTAATAAATGTGTCAGTTTTAACTTTGGGTTTTATTAGATTCTGTTATTAAATTCCAACATATATGTTTATAATTTGTTCCTCATGTAGAAGGGCTGTCGGCTTTGGCTGAACAATCCTCTGAGTCAATGGAAACCAAATGAAAGGGAAGTCTGCCCGGGCCTCACCCTGGCCTGGCCCTGTGTGACTCTGGGCAGTTACCTGAGCTTCAGATCCCTCCTTTGTAAAGCAGATTTTAAGCGTTTATTAAAAAAATTTTTTAAGCGCGGTCCTGGAGATCCAACCTAGGACCTCCCGGGGGTCCAGGCGTGCACCCTGCCACTGAGCTTTACTCGCCCCCCAGATTTTACATAAATATGCTTCAATCTATAGTATCTGGCATTTCTAATATTTTACAACCCCTAACTCTTGGCATCTGGACCAAGCCTGACAAAAAAGATTGCCATCCAGTTTAGAAGCCCTCAGAAAAGCAGAGTCCAGAGGAGTCGCTGATTCTATCCTGATTACATCCGCAGACCAAGGAAGAGGAGCCTCTACAATGCCAAATCAAAAGACCAAGAGGGCAAGGCCAGGGAGGAGTCAAGAACCAACAGACCAGGGACTGCAACAGCAGAAACTCTGTACGACTGGCCTTTGGAATGGCCTCATGGCTATCTTATCTTCTCCCTGCTTCCCGCACCTGTTTTTCCAGAGGCACTGAAGGGGGCTTGTGTGCGTGTATTCCGGGGCAACAGGCGTGACACTAAGGCTTAAAGTGGGTACGGGCAGGTGATGAGTGTGGGGAAAGGCAGTGCGACAGTGAGAAGGAAGCACATGGAGCCCACCGGTGGGAAGAGATTTCCACTGAGGCAGAAGATAAAAACCCAAGAGCAGGCTGTGTCCTCTGATGTGCATATACACTCCTGTACCTGTTCCTGTGAGCCACGGTTCCTCAGGGAGGCATTTGGTCCCTTGTCTCCAGCACCAGGCCATTTTCGTTTCATTTTCTTCTGTTTACCATTCTTTTTAAGGTTTTTATTTTTATTTTTCTGTTTAACAGCTAAAAATAATAAAGTTAATTTTAAAGATGATATAAAAGGACAACAGTAGTTCATTCTTAGGAAGTATATTCCATGATAATCCAGGAGAAGCTCTCCACTGCTCAACGAGTTGAACTGTCTTTCTAGAAGCTCTGGGATTAAGACACCAAAAAGAGAATCAATATATTCTAGATCCCTAATTCATTCTTTGTGACAATATATAAGGTATTGCCAGGGGAAAATATAAAGCAAGATAATTAATGAAATCAGTCTTGCCAGCCGTCAGCCACATCCTTTTGAAGTGTTGAAAGTACAATGGATCTAATTAGAAATTGCTTTAAAATGATCTCATATATGACTGTCAGACTATTCACTGAAAACATTTTATATAGACTAAGCTTACCTATACATCCATTTTAATCAGAAATACATTTTAAGAGGGGAAAAAAAGTGATAAAATGAGAGGATTAAAAAATCTCATTTACAACTGGCATTTGTCCTCATATCCACGGCTAAATTTCATTTTAGTAATCTAAAAGGATATGTTTCTGAGTTTAGTCTGACACACCACCATCCTTGACATTAATTACACCCATTCTCCTTTAGATGTTGGCGACACAAACAGGAATGTCCTGTCCTTCATACACACTCAGGCCAGGGAATCAGCATCCTCCCTTTCAAAGTAGGCAAGTCATGTCCTTTGAAAACCCTCCTGTTCTCTCTGCTCCTCCTGCAAACTGAGCCTCTGCACACCGAGTGGCCAGCTCACATCTGGTATAAAGATCCATGGAAAGCTAATCTTATCATGAGACACAGTGCAGGAGAGCCACTCCACCCCCTCCCCTATCACTTTAAATTTATCACCTTACATGATAAAACGGTTTGATTCTCACCTTTACCTTTCTGAGTATTCTTTGCTCCCTCTTTCTTCACAGATTCTTCAGGAAGCGATAAGGACTGAGCGACATTTGCCATCTCTTTAGCTTGAATGTACTGCTGAAGCTCTTTAGCAAAACTGTCTTCTGATTCCTGACTGCAGATATCATCATCACTGTACACGTCATAGTCCTTGCTTCTTGATTTTCTATGCTGCAGATTCTTCGGTGAGGTGGAGTTTCCAAAGTGCCTAAACTAAGTGAAAATTAAATTTTCAACTTTAAAAACCTAGCATGATTCAAAACAAGCTGGTTATAAAGAGGAAACAAAGACTGGCCATGAACTGATTGTTGTTTTTGATTGATGGGTACACGGCACATAGGGGCTTCACGTGCTACTCTTTCCACTCTTACATATGTGAACTTTTCCAGAATTAAAACACACACACACACAGTACATCCATTCTTAAATGTAATTTGAAGGAAGATTCTGAATCTGCAGTACACTGTGTGTACTTAACTGAATTGAAAGACTAAAGCCCCACATCTTAATTATTTGCTATAAAGGGACTACCATATTACATTTCACATTTGACATCTCCCTTCGTATTGACTATACTTTTAAATAGTTTAATTCAATAGCTCATCATTTCATAAAAGAACAAGTGAACGGTGATGGCCCAGGTGAAAATCCACCACACTGAGCTACATCACAGCTCCCAAGGCCAATTTCTGTCTATAACTCACAGTATTGGTGGCAGAGGCGGTGGCAGCAGCCATGACAAGTGGGAAGGAATTGTCCCGGTCTCTGTAATCAAGTTAATTTTACTTTCAGAAATCATTTTCTACCTCTGCTGTTGGAGCTGCCCCACGGTGACAGCTACAAACACAGGCATCCCCGGGAACAGGGACCCACGTGAGGCTGCTGACCAGGAAGCAGCCTGACATCATCACAGCAGACAACCTAAAGCACTTTGTGTACAAAATTTCCCAGTATTGGGTACACAGGTGTCTATGCTTGGTGACACAGGTGTATCAACTGATTACAATAATATGTATGATACATTTCAATTAAAAAAGGTTTATTTTAAAAAGTCCAATTGTCAAAGGGCTCAGAGGACGTGTCTATCACTAAACTGGCCAATTATCCTGCTCCAGAGCTTTTGGACCTGGTCTTATCCACCTTCACGTAACTGATGAAGGCTGCAAACGCAAAACAAACAAAAAACAAAATAAGAGAATCACAAAATACAGCAGGGGGTCCAATTTAATGCTTTATCCTGGATGCTGAACTTCTAAGCTGAGAGTCGTATCACCAGAGGACTGACTGTAGACCTAGAAAAGGATGTGCTCCCTGCTTGAAGAATCAAACGAGCTAAGAAAGTTTCTTAACCCGACAAGGGCTTCACCGCGCATCTTATCTTCACTACACCAGACAAGACTACCAACCCATCCACAATTTACCAGCCTCTGAGTTTCTGATCACCAAGTCCTCAAGAAAGAGCACCCTTTTCCAACTTAGGAGTTCTTTTTTGAACTCTAGTGAAAGCAAATTATTATCCCCAAAAGAAGAATTCCCTTCTCATTAGTAAATCTGTATAACAAATACTTCATTACTATTATTATATGTTAAATTATGTCAATAAGGAAGTTGTGGGAATTTGTTTCCTCTCTCGTTATACCAGTACCTACAGTCTATCTTCGGTTTTGCTCCTTGGCTTACAAAACCTAACATATTTGCTGTTTTGTCCTTTACCGAAAATATTTACTGACTCCTGATCAGGAGAATGAAACAAAATAGCAGGAAAAAGAGAAAAACTGATCCAGACGAAGCAAATATGATTCAAGGCAAAGAAAAGAACACAGAAATTTTTAAATAAATTCTCATAGATATTAAGATAATGTTATATTTTTTAAATGCTAGAAAGCTATAACGAAACAGGACAAGAAAGAACTCCTGAATAGTTAAATTGTGATTTGTGAAATAAAGATGGGGAAATTTCTTAGAATGTAAAGAAAAAAGACAAAGAGTAATATGACTTGTGTATGAAGGGTATTGAGTGAAGAGTCTCACCAAATAACTTCAGCACAGTGAATAAAGAAAGATTCACAATCTCCAACAACACCAAGAATAAAAAGAGAAGAAGCGAAAAGCTTCCTGGGAGAACAGGATACTTACAAAGTAACAAGAATCGATTGGTAAGATGTCACATCAGCAACACTGGATAGCAGGAGGAAACAGTAATAACCTCGAGCCTAATTCTACTTCAGCCAAATCACCTCTCAACTATGACGATAAAGTCAAGATACTTTCAGAAACGTATGTAAGAACTCAAAAGGTTAATCCCATGCATTCCTATAGAGAACAGTATGTGCCAGCAAAATGCGAAACCAACAGTTAGACAATAGTGCTTAACAGGAAATTATATTCAGTATCTTGCAGTAACCTATAAAGGCAAAGAATATGAAAATGAATATATGTATGTTTATGTCTGACTGAAACATTATGCTGTACACCAGAAACTGACACACTGTAAACTGACTATACTTCAATTTTTAAAAAATGGTTCTTAAAAAAAAGATGCAATTTACAATAGCCTCATCAAACACCTAGAAATAAATGTAAGATTTAAGATACAAAGAAAATTAGAAAACATTGCTGAGGAAAATTAAAGAAGAACTAAAGATTGGACAATTCAATATTCTGAAGATGTCAGTTCTCCCCTAAATGATCCATAGATGCAATGCATTCCCAAGTGGAAAATCCCATCAGGGTTTTTCTGTGTAACTTGACAAACTGTTTCTAAAATTTACACGGAAATGCAAAGGGCTAAGAATTTTAAAGCCTAGACATTTAAAGAAGAAAAACAAAGTGAGAGGACTTGCTTACCTGATACCCAAACTCATCATAACAAAGCCTTAATAATTAATACAGTGAAATCTTGGGGGAAGGGACCTATCAGAATACAAATACTTGATTTTTGACAATGGTGACACTGCAGATCCATGGTGAAAAAGACAGTTCTTTTCCCCACTGAATGTGCCTGAACAATTGAGTACGATAATTTTTTTTAAAGTAAAACAAACTTTGTCCCCTGTACCCCATAATATATCCCCAAATCAGTTCTAAGTGATTATAAGCTTAAATGGGAAAGGCAAAAACAGTAAAACTTTTAGAAGACACTGTAGGGAAATATTCCTAATTATCTCAAGATACTTAAATACAACAAAGCACTGACTATAAAGGAACAGATTGAAAAATTTGAATACATTAAAATTATAAACTTTTTATCAAAAAATGCTATTGAGTAGAAAGAAAGCCACTTTGCAACACATAATCCACAACGAAGGGGGAAAAAACCCAATATCCAGGATAAAGGGAAAAAAAGGCTTATAATGGCACACAAAAAAATGGAAATCTAAATGGACAAACATGAAAAGATGCTCCATCTCAGTAGTAATCAAACTAAATTTCAATGAGATACCTCACCAGATGGCAAAAAATAAAAAGGGTAACAAATATTAAGTGTGGAGCAGTGAAAATACAGTCTCTCATGCACCGCCTGTGGGATTAAAAATCGGTAGAACCACTTTGGAATACAGTTTGGCATCATGGTAAAGGGAAAGCTGCTTATACTGTAAGTCCCAGCAGCTCCTCCCCCAGGTAAATGCGGGGCACATGTGCAGCAGGATACACGTGAAAGAAGGTACCAGCATCGCCCATTACCTCCAAAAATGGACATCAAACCAAATGTCCACCAACACTAGACTCCAGCACATTCAAATAATGGAATGCTATGCAGCAAAGAAAATGAACCAATCAGTATACACCACAAGGTCTATGAATCTTATAAACGTGACATTGAGAAAAAGAAGACAGAAAAGAACACATACAACACTATTCTATTTCTATAACGTGCAAAAAACAGGCAAGGAAAAAAGCTACATTCTAAGGATGACAGCATTAGTAGTAAAACGGTGGAGAACACAGAGGTGACAGTATACAAGCTTGGACTGCAGTCATCTCCAGGAGGAAAGACGGGAACACGACTGAGAAAGGAGGCATCGGAGGTACAGTGGGTAAAGCTCTTTCTTGACTTACAAGGCGTTTATCTGGGTGTTCTCTTTTTAATGAGCTATGATATTATACAGTTATGTTTTCTGCATTTGTAAGTAAAGAGCCTAGCCTGAAGGAAGCCTACTTAGGAATAATCTAGGTGTCCATCTTTTCACAGTATTGTTTCTGGGAAACTCCTTAAGATAATTGTGCAAATCTGTATCTGCCTATCTCTTGAATGGGGCTACTCACAGATGGGGGAACTTTAAGAGGGTATGACCAGGGCCTCCGTGACTAAGACAGTATTAAAAACGTGTAGGAAATCCAAGTTGTAGTTTCCTGGTGCCCACCATGGCTCTAGTCCACAGCAGCCATATATGCCCCAAAGGGCAAAAGAAGTACCTTAGACTGTAACCTCATTTGGAAACAGGGCCACTACATGTATAATTAGTTAAGATGAGGTCGTTACGGTGGGCTTTAATCCAATATGACTGATGTCCTAATAAAAAGGGGAAATTTAGACACAGACATATTCACACAGGAATATCCTTCAAACATGAAGGTAAAGATAAGATGATGCTTCTGGAAGCCAAGCCAAGGAAGACCAGACTGCTGGCAAACCAATCAGAAGCTAGGGGAGAATATGGAACAGATTCTTCCTCACAGCCTTCAGAAGGAACCAGCCCTCCCACCACCTTGCTCTTGGACATCTAGTCTTAAGAACCACAAGGCAATGAATTTCTGTTAAGTCACCCAGGATGCAGTAATTTGTCATGGTGTCCTAGCAAACTAATATAAGCTTCAAGCTACAAATCACTAAGGTTAGTCAAGTTAGCAAATCAAAATTTTTCAATCTAATTTGAAAAGAAAGAAGTTTTCGAAACACTTGACAACCCACTTCAGAAACAGGGAAAACTAAAAGCAATGCACTAAAAACAGTTCATGTTAAATGACAACAAAGTTCTTAAATAATACTTTTCTAAAAAGCATAACCATGTTTCCTGGATATAAGTAACTGTGTCTCAAATGCTGACTAAAAAGAGACAAACAGGTCCCTAGTCAATTTCTCACATCCATTCCTGTCTGTTTTTTCAATATGCCAACTTAATCTTACTTTTTTGGGAATTTGCTCACACTCCAGTTTTACTTCCCATTTTATTTTCTCTTCTTGCGTTTCTTCAACTTCTGTACCATCTATTTCACCATCGATTCTGTAGCAAAAATATCAAATAACACAAAAGGGTTTTTCAACCTGAAAAGGGTTCATACCATAGTATTAAAATTCACTGCTTTGGTTTACCTTCAAGTTGCCCTCAGACAAATTCCAAATTCAAATCCTACCCTAAATACTCCAGAGAAATAACGTACAAAATTATGATGAGTAGTAAGCCTCAACATGTTTATGAATAAACTGCAAAGCTGAATTTTTAGATTACATACCTTTAATGTTCACCTACTAGCAGCTATCTAAATCATCCATCCATTCATCAAGTACTGAGTAGCCACTGTGTACCAATCCAGGCAGGAAGAGCCAACTTCCTATTCAAAATATCCACCTGGACATCTACTGGACAGTCTCATAGATCTAAAACTCTTGATCGAATCCTCCTGCTATCTTAAATAGCAATTTCATCCTTCTAATGATACAGACCAAAAATCTTGAAGTCGACCTTAACTCCTCTCTCATATTCCCTGCCCAATCTGTGAGGAAATGCAGTTTATCTTCAAAATATATCCGTATCTGACCACTTCTTGCTACTAATACTACGATCCAAGCTACTCTTGGCCCTTGCATTCACCCTCAACACAGCCAGATGGCCCTGCTAATATGTCACTCTCTGCTGAAAACTCTCCAATACTCCTCATCTCATTCAAGGCAAAAGCCAAAGTCCTTATCATGGCACCTACAAGGTCCTACACAATCTGCCTCCCCTGCTTCCCCATCCCAATACTTCTCAAATTCTTCTTCTCTTCAAGTCTATTCTATACTGTTCTTACTCCACTCCAGTTGTCATCCTGGCCACTTCGCTCCGACCACCCAATCACAGCAAGTGCACTCCACCCAGGACTTTTATATGAAATACTCTTTTCACTAGATAATCAACCTCTCTCACCTCCTTCAGGTCCCTACTCAAATGTTAACTGATCAATGTTATTAGAGAGGCTTTCCTTAACTATCTTCTTTAAAATATCTACATCCTCTCTGCCATCCCACCCTCCCTCATCTCCCTGCCCTGCTCTCATTTTCTCCATGGCATTTGCCATCACCTAAAATGCTACATATTTATGTATTGCCTGTGCCCCAAGAAATAAATCTCATGAGCATGGGGATTTTTATCTGTTTGTTTATTGCTAGATCCTCAGGGCCTAGAATAATGTCTCCTACATAGCAAGTGCCCAATAAATGAGTAGTCCCATCAGAAAATTACTAGGAAAAATACCCAGAAACCATAAAAGATGGATTTATTTCACTGCATTTAAAACAAACAAAACCTTTATGCACTGAAAATAATGCCATGGGCAATTCATAAGACAAATAAGAAACTGGGCATAAAATACTTGGAGATTCTAAAATTTTAAAGAGAAAGACCAACCAAGAGAAAAACAGGCAAAGAATGTTCACAGACACCATACTTCAATACCATTCTCCACCTAAAAGTGTCTTTTATGTAGTTCAGCAGTTTTTGTGAATGGAATCTTCTGTCCAGTGCATTTTCAAATTGATAGCTCCTATTGGTTTTTCCTACGTAGCTATTCTCTCTTGATGATTCACCTTAATGAACTCTCTCATGTATTTTAAGTTTATTAGTTCCTCTCATTTTTCTTTGTAGCTAATCATAAGCATATCATCTGCAAGTAATTAATGTCTTTGTCTCTTTTCAGTATGTGTGTTATTTTAGTCATTCTTTCTTGGAAGCATGGTGGTGAAATCATACATCTTCATGTAAGACTGTGTTGATAACTCAATCCTATAACTGTACAAGTTTCTGTGATCTTGGCAAGTTATTTATTCTCTTTGTGCCTCAATTTTCTCATCCGCAAAACCGAGGATAATATCTTCTAAGGTTATTCTGAAGATTAAATGACATATTTCACACGAATCCTGTAGTAAACCTCTTGATAGTGGCTTGAATTAAGGTAATAGTTTCAATTAAGGTATCTGAGACAGAAGTGAAGGGCTTTCAGTGATATGAAGAGGTAAGATCAACCAGAATAAGAACTATATGGAGGATAAGAAAAAATAAAGGAATAAAGAATGTGTCACGGGTTCGGCTTAGGGAAATTTGGGGAAAACATGTAGGTTTAAAATAAAAGATGGCTTTTTAGCACTTCAGACTCGCAGGCAAAAAACAGTGAATGAATACCTGGGTGTAAACAAACTACACGAATGAGATAAAACATTTGCGCCATTTGGCCAGCAGTTTCAGTGCCTTTTTCAGCCTAACGGAAACGTATTCGAATGGTGTTTGCTGCTTTATTATGATCTTTATGATCTTTCAATGTAAATCAAGGGGCTAAATAAAGGCAGACTAGTCACTGCTTATCCTTAGGGCTTCGTCTTTTCTACCAAAAAGAGCCTTGCACGTGTAAGTGAAAAATGACAAACGACCTCCGTCCTCCAGGAGCTGACGGTCTGGATGTGCAAATGCTCTGGGAACGCAGGCGGGCTCCCAACCCGCCCAGAGGGGCCGGAGTGCAGAGAAAGGGAGCGTCCTGGATCCCCCTCGTCCCCACCCCGCCCGCCGCCGCCGCCGGGACCCTGCCGCCCCCCACCCCACCCCGGCCCAGGCTCCCGGGGCCTCTGGCCGCGGCGGCCTACGGACCCAGCCCCACCTCCGGTTTCTAACCCCTGCCCTCGAGCGACCTCTCGTCGCCCGGCCGTGGCACTAGCCCGCGCGAGGCCCCAGCGGCCTCCCGGTGGATGGAAGAGGCGGAACCGGCTGGCGCCCCCGCGTTCAAAGCATGAAAAGACTGGGGGGGGTCACCTTTCGTCAGAGTCCAGGGTGGGTTTCTTGCCGAGAGCCGGGTTGGGGGGTTTGGAGAAAAGATTCTCAAAATCCATCATCCTCTCCAGAGCCTGGGAGCCACAGAGTAACAAGCACGGCGTGAAGAGGTGGAACCTGGCTCAGCGCACGCCGAACCGCAGATCACCCCGCGCATGCGCGGTTCCATCCTCCGCTCTGCGCACGCCCGGTGTCTCCCACCTCCCCGGCTGCTCTGCGCAGGCGCAGCCCTAATTATGCGCCTTTAGGCGTACTTTCCGGTACTTTACCTTAAATATTTAGTAGAATTTTTAAACTTAGTCCTTGGGGCTCTCCTTTATTTCATTATGGTGAAAACTGTTTGATGGAAGTCACAATGTTTCAGGAATGGTAGCAATAGCTAACATTTATTTGAGCATTCACTTTCTTTTTTAATTGAAGTGTAGTCAGTTATAATGTGTCAATTTCTCGTGTACAGCTTAATGTCCCAATCAGGCATATATATACATATGTTCCTTTTCAGATTCTTTTTCATTAAAGGTTATTATAAGACATTGAATATAATTCCCTGTGCTATACAGAAGAAATTTGTTTTTTATCTATTTTTATATATATTGGTTAATGTTTGAGCATTCACTTTATACTAAACAGCAATGGTAAATAAACACGACAAATCCAAAGGTGAACTCTAAAAAAAACCTAACAAAATAGATAGTTCCCTGATGAGATTGATCAATACTACAATGAAAAGGGGGCATAATTATAAATTAATAAGGTTAAAATACTAATAGTAAAATACAACAGCTGTATTTGAAATCTTAAATGGCATGGGCAAAATCCTAGAAAATTTAGATAAAATCCACAGATAATGTATAGTCCCCAGGATTGACCCAATAAAAAGTAAAAAGCTTGAATTGTGCTATAACCAGTAAAAGAAATTGAAGCAGTGGTTTGAAAATCTTTCCACAATGAAAATGCCATGTTCAGATAGTTTTATATGCAAATTCTTCTAAACTTTCCAGGACTAGAACATTCCAGCTTCACACAATCTTTCAGACAATTAAAAAAAAGGACGGTAGAAATAGTCCCCAAATCATTCTGCAAAGTCAGCATAATCCTGATAATAAATCCAGGCAAAAAAACTAAAATAAAGGAAAATTACACACACACAGTGTTATCACTGTTGAAGAAGGAAGTTACAGATTTGCAGAGGGAAGGCTAGAATGAACTCTGTGGTTCTCAGAATTCACAGTATCACTATGAACTCAAGATTTTTAATAAATAGGTAGGAGATACATATAGATATGTCCATACACACAAGGGTATATATACATATACACACATATATTATATATATGCATACATAGAGAAGGAAACTTCTTCCATATATGTATTTGTATCTATTTCTCTGTTCTCTCTTGAGACAGGATCCAGAAGCAGTAACACTGCAGTAGCAATGAGCACATCCAGCTCTCATAAGAGGAGCCAGGGTTCTTTGAAGAAATGCCTGGTTCCAAGAAAACAGATCGTTAAGAACAACATGAGCTGCACAAATACAAATCATTAGACCCTAGGCTGCATGAGAATAGACAATTCTGTACTCAGAGAATAGCATGGTGTCTTAAACACAGTGACATGGTCAATGAATCAATCAATTGCTGATTAAACAAATGAATGAATCAATGCTCCCAAGATTAAGAGGTGGGGGGATACATATAGCTCTGCAAGTATGATTCTTAGTACTGAAAAAAAAAACCCCCACATTTCTACTGCAGATATACATGATAACCCAAAATAAAGGCTACTGTATTTTTTTTGCATCAGAAAACACTTTCCCAACTGCTGAGAGTGGCTTCTGAGTTCATTATTTTTGGGGAAGAATAATAAAGTATTTGGAGTAAAGTATTTAAGAAACAGGCTTAAGAAAATTCTGGTATGACATAAATGACCTCTGAATTCTGCCTTTGAAATAGACACCTGGAGTGTACTATGGATCAGTCCTGATCTTTTCCATCTAAGGTTGTCAGGGAGCTTGAGCTAGAGAAGGGGCCACTCCCATCCTTCCTGAAGATGGAGCCTGACATTTGTGTCTGTATCTCAATCTTGTTTGGAAGCAATGTTTTGGAAGGATTTTTGCAAAGACCGGGCTACTATCCAGGTGCTCAGTTGTTGTTGTTGTTTTAATTTCCAAAGAATGTAGGTAAAGCAGCTATTCATTTGTAACCTCAAAGTGTACTGTACAGGGAATCCCCCCCTCCCCAAATTAAATGCAACTCTAAGTCCGTATCCTGGTAGGCAGGTAAAAAACACAATTGGACTTCCTCCCCTCTCCCTTGAGCCCCACAAGCATTTAAAGAATTTTACAACCTCCCAGGGAGGATGAGGAAAAGGTTCCCTAATCTTCCATCTAGGATGATCACCCAGGAGATTGTTTTTATCCAAGGCTGATTAGTCTCTTTAAATGTCTAACATTCTGCTGTTCCTGGGTCACATGAGACCACTGACATTTTTGCTGGAAGTGGAACCTGGTTTAACAAGGCTTATTCTTACTACTCTAGAGCAAAATGAGGACAATGAAAAGAATTTTTCTTAAAACTAAACCTATTCCTGATGTTAAAATATCCTTCCTTTTATGAAATAATCATAAGGTTTTATAAAAATGTCCTTATTTGGCAAAATAAGATGTTAGCACCTTTATATTGGTTACAATTTTTTGTGTGCATTGGTGGTGGGGATGCTTGTCAAAGATAAACAAAGCCAGGCGTCAGTTCAAGTAGTGAAAACAGATTTTATTCAGTAACTATTGACCAGAGGGGAAAGAACTGAACTCCATTCTGACTTGTGTAGCAGTGACTGGGGGTTTTAAAGGGAGGATGAAGTAACAGATATTGTATGATTCAATTTAAATGAAATATTCAGAAAAGGCAAACCTACAGAGACAGAAAGCAGATTAATAGTTGCCTGGAGCAGGGGTGACAAGACAGGGTTAACTGTAAACATGCACTCGGGTAGATGGAATGAATGTTCCAGAACTGAATGCTGGGGATGGCTGCACAAATTGATAAATTTACTGAAAATCACTTAATCGTACATTTAGAATGGGTGAATTTTACGGTATCTACTTTATCAACAAATCTGTTTTACAAAATAACGGGCGAATGAGGGAGGGGGAAGGGCAGGGCGCAAGTGCAAAATTACCAAGGATTGGGCAGTGTCCCGTCAAAGCGATTAGGCCAGCTGACTGTCTGTGGGCAGTGACTTAAGTTAGGGCCCTATCCTCCCACAGAGACAGGGAGACAGAGGCTTATCTTTCTGATGATTACATTTCAAAGGAATGGCTTTTAGGTCCTTGAGAAAGATGCTCCTGAATTGTGGGAGGTACATATACCTCTCAAAGGGACAGCAATCAGGGGGCCCATGCCAGGTGTTGGCTAGAGCAAACAGGAACTCCCCTGGCAGCACTGAGCTTTCTCAGACAGGCATTTTAACGGGAGGTCATCCTGAGGACGTGGTCTTCTGCTGCTTGAAGTCATGCTGGAGTACGTGTGTCTCTTGGGGCAGATGGAGCTATTATGTGCTAAGAATTCTTACCGTCCATATTTCATTGTTAAGTAAAATCTTCTAGGTTGAAAACGAACGCTCTAGTTTAATCTCTGTGATGAATGCATTCTTAACTGAGGCAATTTAAGAAAAGGGGAGGAAGGCTAAGCTTGGTTCAGCCTTCAACTTAAATATTTTATCAAACAGCTCTGAGAACTTCTAGATTCTAAACACAGAGCTTCAAAGGAGCATCACCTGCTGCCCAGTGTATCATCCACATAGGCACTTTCTTCCTGATACCAAAGGAAGACGACCAGGGTCTGACATCATATTTTAGCTACCGGAAGTGGTGCGTAAGAGGGCTTAGGAACGAGGCTTTTCATCCAGGGAGAACTGCACGGTTCCACACCACAGCACATCGAACACCCTAAAGAGGGTTTGAAAGAGATCCCGAGGCCTCTAGATATAGGGGACAGAGAAAACCGAAGTGCAAAGAAAGAACAGCAACCGTTCACCTCAAACGCCTTCCAAAAACTGCAAAGAAATGGTCTATCCTAACAGCTAAACACCTAAGTAACACAGTTACAATAGAGACAAAGTAGAGATTCTAACAGAATCCAAATGCTAATTACTGTTACTCCAGACTAAATAT